TCGCCCTGGGTAGAGTGTGGTGGTATCACAGCTCATAGCAACCTCAAACTCTTGGGCTTAAGCAATTCTCTTGCCTCAGCCTCACAAGTAGCCAGGTCTACAGGCACCTGCCACAACACCCGGCTATTTTTTTGTTGCAGTTGTCATTGTTGTTTTAGCTGGCCTGGGCTGGGTTCAAACCTGCCAGCCTAGGTGTATGTGGCCTACGCCCTACCCACTGAGTTACAGGCACTGCCCCAAACTTACAAGTTTTGATATATGGTACTGTGGTTCTGCAGGTCTAAATATTTCATGATTTTCATTGTTATTTTCTCTTTTCTCCCATATGTTAGAAGTTCATTATTGATAGTTATTTTTTATTCCCATTAATTTTTTTTCTAAATAACAAAACCATTTTACACTTCTACAAGCTGCTGTGGCATTTTGTGGACACCAGACATTGCCCCAGGTGACTGTTTTTTGTTTTGTTTTTTTGAGGCAGGGTCTGGCTCCTCACTTTGCCACCCAGGCTAGAGTGCAGAGGTACCATCACAGCTCATTGCAGGTTCAAACTCCTCCTGAAGTGATCCTCCTGCCTTAGCCTCTCAAATAGCTATGACTACAGGCACCCAAGATGACATTTCAAAACAAAAAGGAAACCACCCATGTTCTATTATAGAGTCTCCCCCACACACACACCTTTTATAAAGCACCGTAATTGTTCAGTCTAGGAAGTGAACAGGCTAAATATGGATTCAAATTGCCTGGATTCAAGTACTGGTCAGGCCATTTACTATAAATGGGGAAGTTTGGGCAAATAATCTTTCTGCACGCCAGTTTCATCCTCCGTAAAGCAAGGCTGACAAAATCACATGTTTCGCAGAGTTATTGGGAAGTGTTTGCATTCCAGTTGTCATTAAATAAATAGGACTTTTTTAAAAACTCAATTTAGCTACTGATTGTATTCTATTCTTATAATACATGGTGCTTTGTTAGTATGAAAAATCTCTGAGTTTCAGGAAAGTAAAGATCCATGTTCCAGAAAGCTTTGTTACACCTGTGCCTAAAATATACTTTCAGGTCTCTCTCTCTCTCTCTCTTTCTCTCTCCTGCACCCCAAGTCCATGAAAACACATATAGAACTGACAGGCATCCACTGTTTCATTTCAAATTATGTACGCAGATACAAATGACAGAGATTCTCACAAAAATACACTCAGCCAAGCACAGAATCCACAGATCTTGGTCCATGCTCACGCTTCTGTATACTCCCCATAAAGATGGATCCATCGCCCACAGATAGAGATGGGCTCTCCAATCCCACTCAAAGCCTAGCAGCCCGCTGACAGGTCGCAAGCCACCACAGTGCCAAGCCCATGCAAAGCGTCATCACGGGCTACAGTATAGGCAGGGCCTTGTTCTTACTTCCTTTAGGTTAGTTTTATTTTAGTTGTTGTTATTGTTGTTCTTCTTAGAGTTATCATCTGCCGCTCTTTCTCCCTACCCAGCCCCCTAACCTTCCCCCTAAGGCTCCACTGCGCATGTGCTCTGCATCCCTCCCCCTCCTGGGTACCAGTCGGAGCTCCCGGGCGCTGGCGGCGGAAGAGATGGAGCAGCGTCACGAGCGCCCGGCCCCTTAAAGCTCTGCTGGCTGGAGCCGCCTCCCTCCCTGCAGCCCGCGGCAGGGATGGAGTAAAGGGGGACCCGTCGACCTGCCCGCGGGGATCGGCGATGGAGTTAAAGCAATCTTTGTCCACCCATCTGGAAGCTGAGAAGCCTCTGAGGCGCTATGGGGCGGTGGAGGAGACGGCGTGGAAAGCGGAGGGACTGGGGAAAAGTGAGTACTGAGGCGGGGGGCGGGGGACAGTAGGGGACCCGTGCGCTGCAGCCAGCGGTCGCGGGCGCGCGGGGAACGCACCGGGCGGACGCAGGGAAGCGCCCCCGCAGTGGGGCTTTCAGCGACCGGGGGATGCGCGCCGCCGCGCCGCGCCGCTCTCTCCCCGCGAACAAAAGGGGGACCCTCCGGGCTGTGCTTCCCGGGCAGGCTCGGGGCACCGCCAGGAAACTGAGCCAGGAGACTGGGCTGGACTCCCAGATCTGCCCGCTGGAAGCTGGTCCTGCAAAGTAGGGTATTTCCCGCAGCCGAGAGAGGAGGATCCTTTCTCCGCCTGGGATGCGCTAGGTCGCTGGGGCCGAAGGACGGTCCTGGAAAGCGCCCACGTCCCTGGAGAGGGGGGAGTGTCCGCTAGGTTTCCTTTTGCTCTCCCCCAGCGCCGGGTTCAGAGCACACCTGAAATTCCCAGCTTTTCTCTCCCCGCTTCCCCGCCTTCTCCTGGTCCGGGCGGGAGGCGTGGGGGAGGATTTGGAGAAGATGATCCGTGAGCACAGCCTTCTCCTTTCTCTTTTGACTCAGTTCAAGTCTTTGGTGTGGGTATAATCCTAGAAGGCTGTTCCCAAACAGACCGGCCTGTATATACTGGTTCTCTCCACGGTGTTTTGGTGTTAACGCTGAGGAATAATATTCATTTTAATGATTAGGATGCAATAGTTGAAACTTCTGCCCTCGAAGTGTAGAAGCAGGGGTTTAAGGATCCCCAATTGTCTCTGCAAACTCAGGGGTCTTCCCAGTGACCCTGCACTGCTCGCCCTAGCCTGTGCCTCCTGCCAGACTGGCAAGGGCCCTCTCGCCCTTCTCAGGGACCCCGAAGCTTTCTTCCTGGCTCTGGGTCACCATGCTTACTTAGCTCTCTTCCCCAGCATGGATCTCTAAGCTCTGTTGGGCTCAAGTATTGTGAATGTGCTTTTTTCCTGTCTTTACCTGGTAGAAAATTGTGTGTGTGCACATCTGTGTCCTCTCTCTCTACCTACAATTAGGAATTCAGAAAATTTTCCTACAGTGGCTGGGGGTAGTCTGATTATGATAGGTTCAAGTTGAAATCACAATCAAATGCCTCAGTTCCTCACCGACTCTGATGCATACCACAGGGCTCCCGGCCGCTTTCCTTCTTCTCTTCTCTTTTCTTTCTCCTTTTTGTAACCTTGGTCCTGCCTTCTATGTCATCCTTTCAAACCCTTTGGCATTAACACCAGGGCTGAGAATCTCTGTTCCTTACAAGCTCAAAATAATATCGACAATGGCTGCCTTTTATTGCTAGATTACAGTATACTAAGAACTTTGCATGCATCGTCTCCTTTAATCCCAATAATCACCTCCTGAGGTGAGTGTTACGGCTCCCTGTGCATGGATGGAAACACTGGGGTTCCTTAGGTGATCTGTTAAGTGAGAAAGCCAGGATTTGAACCCAGATTTTTGGGACCCCTAGTTCCCCTGATTTTCAACCCGAAGATTTATTGCTCTCATGGTTTTAGGAACCTCTAAAGTCTGTTGAAAGAGTCCCAGAATATGTGCAGAGATTTTATAAATATGTGGCAGCCCTGTTGGCCTCTTGAACACACAGTGGACTTGAAAAAATAAATGCTGGGTCCATGCAGAATAGAAGCCGTGCAGGGAAGTGCTGGTTTGAATCCTTGTTCTGGCCCTTGCTAGCTCTGTGACTTTCAGAACATTTCTAATCCTCATTCTGCCTCTCTTTTCTAAAAATGTATGCGATAGTGGTACCTACCATATGGCTTTATTGTGAATATTAAATAAGATAGTGTATATAGAGCTCAATACATATCCGTTGCTTCTACCATGTTTTTGCTACAACACATACAGAAGGAACCTGTTTTCATCCTCTGCAAGGAATTGCATAAAGCAACACTCCAGCCTAACCAAACCTGCAGTGTTGGTTAGTTCCTTAATACCTCTCTTCAAGCTTTTAATTTTTTCTTCCTTTTTTTATGAGGAAAATTTTCAAACATACAGAGAAATTATAGCAAGCACCCACATGTATAGCAGTGTAGCTCCTGAAATGTTTGTACTTATAAGTTCAAGGATGCAGACTTTTAAAAGTCTGGCAGAAAGGCTTCTTTATCCTCTCTCTTGCAAACCATCAAAGACTCTTGAGTCTTGCTTCCCAGGCAAGTACAAGAGCACAGTTTGTGATCTGTTTTTGCACGGATTCTCCGAATTTGGGGTTTTTTTTCCTTCTCTCTTTACTCATACAAACTTGAAGTCCTCTTAAAGTACTAATCCAGAGTCATGATTTTGAATTTGACAGTTTTGATTTCTAGACTCTCATCTGCAACCAGACATTTTTTGGATCAAAGCCTTCTTGGAACACTCTTTCAACTCCCAGGGTATCTATGGATCCATTCCATAATGTCTGGGGCCTCTTATTTATTTATTAAAGAAGTGTGGAAATTAGTACTATTGTTTTAATGCATCACATTTTCCGGGCCTTTGGAATTCATGAAATGTTGGAGAAAAGATACTCCTTAAGTCAAAGTATGCTCTGTGTAATTTCTACTCATACTTAAAGATTTTATGTTAAATACTGAGTATGTACAAAGTAAAAAGAATGGAAGATTGTAGAAAGATTGCAGACCTGGTTGGTTTTGGTTAGGGTTGTGTTAACGCCTGTAATATTTCTAATTATAATGATAGTTTTCAAATAAAAGATATGTAATGTACTACAGTATAGAAGTAAAGAATGGGCGTTTAAAAGTTAGGTGAAATACCTTCAAACCAGCTCAAAAAGCTTATAGGCTTGAGGTTTGTCACCCTGGGAAAATTGCTGAACTTCTGTGTTCACAATTGACGCTATTACCTATTCACAGTTGTGTCATCTGTGAAATAATGAACACTTGGGATTCTTGGAAGATTAAATGGGATCATGCATATAACAAATTTAGTACAGTGCCTGGCACACTACAGGTGTTCAATCCATGCTGAATCCTTGTCCTTAGTAGGACAAAAGAGAATGGCACCCAACAGTGTTCGAATAGATTCCGCTTCTTATTGCTTCTGTTTCTTTGTAAATTCTGGATAACAAGTGTGTCTGTACCACTTTCCTCATGGGAATGTGGAGAGAAAGGCTTTTGCAGCCTTGCAAACCATCTAGTATTTTCTCGTTTGAGCAGAATTCTTAGCAATTGCTCCCATCCACTGATGACGGCATTTTTCTGCTTAGCAGTGAGGTTTGTTTTCCTCAGTTGGAAAATGTATGGTGACATTTCAGTGTGGTTAGATGTATAAAAATACTGCTTTCAACAGACTGTAATTAATTGAGGGAGACACAAAGACAAGGGGCCTTTTGAAAAAGCCCAGAGCTTTTAAAAAACACAGGTTTCTGTCGTTAGGGCCATTTCTTGATAGATTAGAATGTGCCTTTAAAGGTGATCAAGATTTTGGACAAGGGACGTGGCAGGGGGCAGAAGGAGACGGACTGCCAGGATGGGTAGTAGCATGAGCAAAGGCATAGAGGTAGAAATGAATGCTCTGTGAGCAGGAGATTGGAGTAAACTAGAAACCCCACGCAGCAATCTCTCTATAAGCCCAGGGGAGATGATTCTTATTTGAAAGTCTAAGGTTGTATACTGACTAGCAAGCAGATCATTAAACTGGCCAGTGTTTCAGGTTTACTATATCGTGTGGAGACTATTTATTGGATAATAGATGATATGAATTGCTGACAATGTATATAATACATTCTTGGGGGAGATTTTGTATTATTTTCATCTGTTTGATTAAATGTGCTAATTTTATCATTTTATTTTCACATTATTTCATACATTCACTTTATAAAAAATTTAAATTCATCTAAAACATGAACACGAAAAATGGAAAACAACCATCATCTGCTCCCCAAATCCCATTTGTTCATCCAGTAAATAAATATTGAGCACCTTGTAAGTGCCAGGCAAGTGGGATAGGGGCTGCTTTCAACCAACTGTAGTTAATTGAAGGAGACACAAAGATACAGCGTTGAGCAAGACAAAATCCCTGCCGAAGTAAAGCTTGTATTTAGGGAAAATCAGGCATTGGCTGAGAGCGAGGGTATCCAATAATACATTAAGCAAAGAAGCCAGATAGTTCAGATCATCCTTGGTGTTACATGGGAGGGATCTTCTTTATCCAGTGTTCAGGAAATGCTTCAATAAGGAGATGACATTTTGCCATGTAAATAGCAGGAATCCAGGCTGTAAATGTAAAGATTTTGGTGTGTTAGAGGAGGACACAGAAGGCCAGGTGGCCAGAACCAGTGAGTCAGGGAGAGAGAGGAAATGAAGCAGAGAAGAGCCAGACTAGGTAGGGTCTTCTAGGTTATAGTTTAAAAAAAAAAAAATAGTCCAGAATTTATTCTCATTGCAGATGAAACTGCTGCGGAATTTTAAACAAGGGACCAACGTGAGGTGGTTTTTGTTTCCAAAAGGTCACACGTTAGCTACTGGATGGAGAATAAGCCATACCAAGTTGTACAAGGGAACTGAGGATAATGTAAGCAGCGTCTGATGTAGTTCCTGGTTCCTTCCTAGTCGATTCCATTTTGGACAAGTGGGAGGAACTGCCTTGAGTTTGAAAGTGTTGCTGCCCAAGTGGGTTGTGCTGCCCGCTGAACAGAGAAGAGCCAGTGCATTGGGACAGTGGAGGGTGCAATGCAGAAAGCGCTTATTCCACATAGCATTAAATGTGGAGGCGGGAGAAATTTCTCAAGTCTGCCTCTCCAAGAACTGGGGAGACAGGGTTTTTCAAGACAGTTTGATGGGCAGAGGATTAGGGGTCTGCTAATGGGCTGGCTTCAGGGTAGCACCATAACTCCTTCCGTGTGGGCTGCTGTCTAGGTGGGTCAGCTACTGGAATGTAGGACCTGGATGATACCTCAAAAACCACTCTGGGGTAAAGAAGAAAACACCAGGAACAGTGATTAATATCAAGCAGGTGAGGGGACAGTG